AAAAGTGGACCCAGTCCTCCAGATGCAGCCTCATCAGTGCTGAATAGAAGGAAAGAATCCCTCCCCTTGTCTTCCTGCCAATGTTCCTACTAATGTAGCCCAGTGTGCTATTACTCTTCTTTGCAACAAGGACACGTTGTCGACTCATACTCATCTTATTGTCCACTGTAACCCCCAGGTTCTTCTCTGCAGAGCTGCTGCCTAGTCATTCAGTCCCCAGCCTGTAGCAGTGCATGGGATTGTTCCATCCTAAGTGCAGGACCTTGCACGTGTCTTTATTGAACCTCATAAGATTTCTTTTTGTCCAGTCCGTCAATATGTCAAGGTCTCTCTGAATCCTAACCCTACACTCCAGCTCATCTATGTCTCCCCGCAGATAGTGTCACCTACAAACTTGCTGAGGATGCATTCTATGCATGAACAACGTGTGCCTGCTGAGGCTGGGGGTTTACGGTGACCACCTGCAGGTTGCAGCAGTGGTGGTGGCAAGCAGGGATCGCTCATAGGTGGCTGCGGCTGTGTCAGTGGTGAGGGGGGACTGCCCGCAGTTGCCAGCAGCTGCATCGGCAGCATGCCCCCCCGTTGTACCCTCTACGTGTTGCTTGTGACTCTGTGCCATCTTCCAGGTCATTGATGAAGACAATGAAGAAAACTAGCCCTAGGATCAACCCATGGGGCACTCCACTTGATACCAGCTGCCAACTAGACATTGAGCCATTGACTACTACCCTCTGAGCCTGATGATTCAGTCAGTTTTCTGTCCACCGTAGTCCATTCATCCAACTCATACTTCCTTATCTTCCTTGCGAGGGTGTTGTTGGAGACCGTATCAAAAGCCTTGCTAGAGTCAAGGTATACCACATTCATTGGTCTCCCTGCATCTACAGAGCCAGTCATCTCATCATAGAAGACAATCGGGTTGGTCTTGGTGAATCCATGCTGACTGTTCCTAATCACCTTCTCCTTGAAGGCTTAGAAATGGATTCCTTGAGGCTCTGCTCTATGATTTTTCCAGGGGCTGAGGTGAGGCTGACTAGTCTGTAGTTCCCCAGATCCCCCTTCCCTTTCTTAAAGGTGGGCACTATATTTGCCCTTTTCTAATTGTCCAGGACCTCTTCCAATTGCCATGTGTTTTCAAAGATGATTGCCAATGGCTCTGCAATCACATCCTTAGCACCCTCGGGTGCATCCCATCCAGCCCCATGGACGTGTATAAGTTCAACTTTTCTAAATAGTCCCTAACCTGTTCTTTTGCCACTGATGGCTGCTCACCTCCTCTCCAAACTGTGCTGTCAGGTGCAGGAGACTGGGAGCTGACCTTGCCTGTGAAGACTGAGGTGAAAAAGGCCTTTTCTGCATCCTCTGTCACTATATTGCTTCCCCTGTTCAGAGTAAGGGACCCACACTTTCCCTGATCCTCCTCTTGTTACTGACATACTTGTAGAAACCCTTCTTGTTATCCTTCATGTTCCTTGCAACTCCAATTGCACTTTGGCCTTCCTGACTTCATCCCTGCATGCCCGAGCAATACTTTCATAATCCTCCCTAGTTGTTTGTCCAAGTTGCCACTTCTTATAAGCTTCCTCTTTGTGATTTAGCTTACAGAAGAGTAAAGCTAAGCCAAGCTGGGCTTCTGCCATACTTGCTAGTCTTCCTGCACATTGGGATGTGGGGTGGTTTGTTCCTGCACTCTCCGTAAGGCTTCTTTAAAAGCTTTCCTGGACTCCTCTCCCCCTCAGAGTGACTTCCCAAGGGATCCTGCCTCCTTAGACTGACTTCTCATGGGATCCTGCCCATGAGTTCCCTAATAGTCTGTCTGCTTTTCTGAAGTCCAGGGTGCTTCGTCTGCTGCTCTCCTTCCTTCCTTTCCTCAGGTTCTTGAACTCAATCATCTCATGGTTGCTGCTGCCCAAGTTGCCATGCACTACTACATTCCACACCAATTCTTCCCTGTTTGTGGGCAGCAGGTCAGGAAGAGCACAGCCCCTAGTTCGGGGGTGTCCAACCTTTTTGAATGTGGGGCCGGATCATAAAATTTTTATCACCCAGTGGGCCGATGAGCCATATTCAAACACCCTCTGTCCTGGGCCAAAGAGACCCTGCCTGTGTAGCCCTACTGCACCTACCTGTTACTGCAAGGTTCATGGTAGCTGCTGGTGGGCAGGGGCAGGAGGGACCCATTCTGCATCCAGCCAGCTACTGCCCCAGAGACAGAAGGGGAGAAATAAATAGCTCCACATCACCACCCCCCGAGCAGCGCAGCCCCCAGGGGGCTGGAGCGAGGCAGCTGCTGCGCCGCAGTCCCTCACCTGCCCGCCCGCACGGCCCCGCTCACCGTGGTGCCCGGCTGCCCATGCACAGAGCGGCGGTGGCCTCAGCACTGCGAGCCCAGAGTCTGGCAGACATTGGCTCCTGCCGCCTCGCCCTGCAGAGGTTATGCCAGGCCCCCACCTGCCGAGGCCCCCCGTGCTGGCTTCCCACGGGCTGTTGGGGATGAGAGGAGGTTGGCCAGGTCGGCACCGGCCAGCAGAAGCGGCAGCAGAGCCGTGTGCTGCTCAGGATGAGATGAGCCCGGCCAAAGCGGCAGGGGCTCAGCTGCATTTTCCCCCTACCTGCACCGGTCAGTCCTGAGTGGCACATGACTCCTCCACCGCTTCTGCTGGCTGGTGCTGACCTGGCCGGCCTCCTCCCATCCCCAGCAGCACGTGGGAAGCTGGCTTCAGCTGCATGCTGCTCTGGATGGGATGGACCCAGCCGGGTCAGCACCAGCCAGCAGAAGTGGTGGCGGAGCCGTGTGCTGCTCAGGATGAGATGAGCCCGGCCAAAGCGGCAGGGGCTCAGCTGCATTTTCCCCCTACCTGCACCGGTCAGTCCCAAGCAGCACACGGCTCCGCCACCACTTCTGCTGGCTGGTGCTGACCTGGCCGGCCTCCTCCCATCCCCAGCAGCATGTGGGAAGCCAGCTGGATGCTGCTCCGGATGGGACAGACCAGCCTGGGTTGGCACCAGCCAGCAGAGGCAGTGGCAGAGCCGTGTGCCGCTTGGGACTCACCGGCTCAGGTAGGGGGAAAGTGCAGCTGAGCCCCCTACTGCTCTGGCTGGGCTCATCCTGTCCCAAGAGGCACATGGCTACTCCTCTTTCCACACACACTGCATCGGCAACATCAAGCTGACGCAGTGCGTGTGGGAACCTTGTCCCTTCCCCAGCCCTTCAGCAGCCATTAGGAAGCTGCTGAGGGGCTCGGGGAGGGACAAGGCGTGGGAACGAAAGAAAACAGTGTTTACTTTCGTTTCCCGTCACAGCACCTTGGGCCTCAGAAAAGGCCTTGGCGGGCCACATGGCCCACGGGCCGTATGTTGGACAAGCCTGCCCTAGTTGGTTGCATATAAAGACAAACAGAAATGAGTATATTTTATACACGTATAGGGATATATACTCCTTAAAATGGAATGTGGGAGTATAGCATGTACAGATGCCCCATTTTAAAGATGTTTTGGAATGCAACTTTAACAATAGTCACAAACAGGACCTGTGCAGTTGCATTCCCACAGGAAATGGGAGGCCTTCAGGTTGTGTTGAATAATGCAATGGCATCAGCATAGAACCTAAACAAGTACAGAATTCCATCCTGATAAAGCAGTGCAAAAGGGCTAAAGGATTCCTGGAGCGCTACATATTAGGGCTGTGCAAAATGGCACTGTTCCGTTTCAACTTGCGTTTCGACAGAACTTCATTTCAAATTTCATTTAGAGTCGAAATCGCTGTTCCGTTTCGTTTCGTCAAAACAGTTTTGCTGTTTCAACGTTTGCCCATAGGCTATAATGGGGGAGATCAAAACAGCTTATAACATCGTTTTTGGCCTGATTTGGATGAAACTTGCAGGAATTGTAGCCCCTTCTTGGGGCATGAAGCTTGCCAAGTTTCAAGGAGATAGGTGCAGGGGTTTATGGGGAAACTGCACCTCAAGCTGCAGACAAGCAAAACTCATGACATGGATGACACTGTGTTAAGGCGCAGCAGAGTGAAAGCTGCAGGCCTGCTAGCCTTTGCTGCGGCCATGAAGCCTGCCAACTTTCAAGGAGACAGCTGCAGGGGCTTCTGGGTTCTGGGGCCCTGCACCTCTGGCTGCTGACATGCAAAACTTGGGGGGGTTAAGGTGCGCCCTCACTCAGCTGACACCAAGGCAGAAAGCAGGGCAGTTCAGACAAAGCTGCCTTTTTATGCAGGTTTTCTATCCCTTCCCCAGAGCACTGGGATTGGAAGGGACCCTCCGGGAAGGATGACAGTCACTGGCCAGCTACACAGTCAATACCCCCAGCTCTCCTTACTTTAGTTTGTTTCCCTGCAGGCAAGCCCAGCTTGAGCTTCGAAACTCGTTTTGTTTCGAGGTTGTTTCAAAGCTCTGTTTCATTTCGATTTAGCTGTTTCAAACTCAAAACAAGTTGAAACAGCTTCGAAATGAAACTGCGGGTGAAATTTTGCACAGCCCTACTACATATACAGATAAAGTTGTAGTATTCAGAATCTTTAGTGTTTTTCTACTGCCTGAGGAAATTGGGATTTTTGTGCCAAGGTATTTCATGTGTTTAATGATTGCAATAGCATTGGACTAATAGAGGAGATTAAAGAGTGGGTGGTTTTGATTTTATAGCATACCATAGAATTAATTAATTAAAGTTGTATTATTATATGGTGATGGCAAAGGCATGAACTATTGAATGAGGAATTTTAATTTTTGCTCGTAAGGTTTAAAACTAATAAAACATGGTGAGACTGTTCTAAGTGCTGTTTTTTGGAGAAGAATAACAAAAAAGAAGCATTTAAAGCCAATCACTTTTTTCACTAGTTCTTTTGTTGTTTTATATTTGTAAAGAATACAGACTATGAAGATGACAAAGCAGTAAAGAATCCAAAGTACAAAGACAGAGCTGGAAAACGTAGAGAGACTGTTGGAAGTGAAGGAACTTTTCAGAGAGATGATACTCCAGCTTCTGTCCATGTGTAAGTGTATAAAACCATTCTTCACTCTTAAAACATCATAAACCTTTAATACTCAGTATAGTTTAGTGAATTGTTAATAGTTAATCTGATTTGATATCAACTGGGCTGAATCATAGAGGAAAAAAAGCAGGGGGATTGATTCCAGGAGGCATCTAATCCAACCTCCTCAAGGCAAATTAGTTTTTAAAGTAATTTTAAGTGCATATTAAGGAAGACATTTTCCCCATTTATATACTTCACAGACTTCATATTGAGACAGTAAGAAATTTGCCCTGGAATTGGAAATGCTTTCAAACCACCTGCACAGTAATTCAATTATAATTCTCCCCAGTAGCTTTCAACTTGCTGCTTTGAAATCCCAGGACTCATTCTACCAAAATTTAAAATGTACATTCAAAGTTGTTGTTTTTTTCCTGTTATGCTGCTGAAACATTAAGTGAAAACAATGCCGTTTTAGTAGTTTTCTGTCTCCAGTTCAATGTTGATCATCTCCCTACTTCTCTTCATTTAGTGGCTTTCTGGCAGGGTGATGGTCCTCAACAAGAGTGCCACAAGCCCCCCTAAAGGGTGCCCCAGTGCAGGCACTGCCACAGCAGCCAAGTAAAACTACCCCATGTGCACTCCTGCTTCATTAGGGATCTGATCAACTTAAACCAGGAAAGAGCTGGTTCTGCTATAGCCTAGCCTACCACACTCCTAGAAACAGAGGCACTTAGAAGAGTGCCTGAGCCTATCCATCTCCTCCAGAGAATCTACTGGTAGGCACCTCTCACTGCAGGCCCTCCCCCACCTGGCTGTCTTTGGCAGGGATGTACAGGCTAAAGTCCCTGCAGAGCCAGACCACAAACTGGGTGGAAGCCTTGGTGGTGGGTGGACCACGTCTGTAGAGAGCCTCCATGGGCACGGGCAGAAAAAGCTGACAGTGGTAGGGGCTTTGGCATTCCAACATCTTTGAGCCATCCAGCTGATTCTCCTGTTAGCTCTAGATCTCAAATTCATGAGCTTAATTTGTGAATGGGTATATTTAGGTAGGAAAGAGGCAAGGGTTGTTGTGGGGGATTTCCTTTTACTGGCTCAACTGCATGGTTGGATTAGATGTCAAACATTTCAAATGCAGTGCATTCTTCATCAGAATATTTCATAAATACATTTTTTTGTTAAATTTCTGCATGTAGAAAAGTATAAGTAAGTCTTTGTGAGCACTGAAAAGTGTTTTATTGCAAATATTACAAAGCATGGATTACAAGGTATGTGAATTGTTTTTCTGGGTGTTTATGAAGCTGTACCTGGTGATAGTATCATTAATAGCAGAAGATATTGAGTGATAAAGGATACAGTTTTTATGGGGGAATTTCCTTTGAAGAAATATAGAGGACATTTTTAAATGTAAGTTCTAATATCTGTACATGAAAATGTAGCCAGCCAAGACTAAAACAATAATATTAATGTAAAATGGCAACTCTCCACACAAGGCACCATTAAATCAGTTTGAGAAGGCAAATATATACAACCAAGTCTGTGCCAACAAAAACTAAGCAAAGTTTTAATAACCTTTTTGCTACATTTAATAGAATCTAGAGGGCAAACACACAAACCCAGATGTGCTTGTATACCATGTAACGCTCGCTTGCTGTTGCCTACTTTTGTAAGAGCAACATTTGGACCACAGGTTTATATGTTGGGGTAATAGTCTAAGCTTAATAGGAAAGAGTCAGATGTTGCTTATTGTTAATTTTCCTTATTTGTTAACTTTTAATTTTTTTTTTTTCCAAGTGAAATTGGTGATAGCAACAAAGGCCGTAAAATGCTGGAGAAGATGGGATGGAAAAAAGGAGAAGGGCTAGGCAAGGATGGTGGTGGTATGAAGGATCCAGTAGGTCTTTTTGACTGACTTGATTATTTTGCTGTAATCTATTTTTTGTAATTGCATTTGCATTGCAAAATAGTTTCACTGTTGGTCATTTTAGATATATCAGAGCACTGGGTGTGGAAACTCAACTAGTGATTAGCCATCTAAAAATTTCATGTAATTGTTTTCAATCCTCCTTTTGGCTTTGTTCTATCTTTTGCATGGGGTTTGCAAATATTTCAAAAGCTGGTCTCTGGGCGAGATCCAGGGTTGGGTCTCACTTAAACATAGCAGAGCTAACAACAATCAAGAGATAATCGCAGAAAGGCCAATATTCTAATTCCAGTCTGTTGTGCAAGTCAGTACAGTCTGCTTCATCTGGCTATCTACCAGGTAATTCAGACTTCCATGGGAGTTCTGCTTTTCAGTAGCAGGCAACTGAAATTTAGTGCTGCCCAGCACCTATACAGCATTTTATCCTCTTCATCGTGGCTTGCTTGCAAAGATGAGAGATCTTCAGAACAGCATAATATCTGAGCAAGGAGGGATCGCTGAGAAGGCTAAAGAATTGGGTGTAATAACCTCTTATGTGATTTTTTGGGTATTGAATGCCATTAAATAACATGATGTATGAAGTTGTTCTACAAAACTAAAATGGACTGGGATTGGATTATGTTAGCATCAATAACTATACTCAAGAGCTATACCAATGCCAGAAAAAAACATGGAATGGGCAGCTGATGTGATATTTAAATGTATGACAGTGCATGGGCAGAGAATCTGGCATTTGCAGGAAAATGTTGGATGAATTGTAGTGTGAGGGAGATGCATGCAGATAATATTGTAGATTGTAATCTGCCTGCATTTTAGGGACTGTCCAATCTTTATTACTGACTCTCTAAAATACCGTCTCCTAGCCCTCTATAGGGGAGGTGGAGCATCAAGACTCTGTAATCTGAGAATATGGAATGATCCAAAAAATGTTGAACTAGCTATGCACTAGCTGTCCAGCATCTAACACAGATTCAGATTGTTAGTTTTCTTAAATCACCTCCAAAATGAACAGGGCTACTAGCAAGCTTTTATCAGCATTAAACCATGTTCAGGTATATGTGCATGACATGACTTTTGTGTTTTGACTATAAGACTAAACAAAGTTCGTGAGTATTACACAGTCTGATGTACAGTAATTTGAAGTATTTTAAATATGGAATTATATAACACTTTTTTTTTTTCCAACGTTTGATATAGATCCAGCTTCAGCTACACAAGACTCATGCAGGTTTGGGTACAAGTAGACCAACTTCAGTTGAAGATGTTTCCATCATCCAAAGCAAGAACAAAAAGAACTGGGACAAAGCAAGAGAAAGATTTGCTGAAAACTTCCAGGAACCTAAACCACAGAAAGATGCACCCAAGATTATGCCTTGGGTTAGAGGGACTGCAGAATGAAATCACTTAATCCCAGCACAAGTTAATTCCTGTATGTAAATAGTTTGGGAGAGTTTATTTTTACTTTACCTGGGGGTGTGGGGAAGGGTACATGTAATATACAAGTGTGAGGAATGTCTGCAAAATTAATTGTAGTCTTGTTTGGTTTATCCTAGTCTACATTTATGAATGTGCAGTGAATAAATCAGATTGCCCCCAGTTCTAGTTTTGAGGAATGTGGAGATGAAAATACTTACTTGTCATTTTTCAAGATTAGGATTTTTCTTCTTCAAATTTGTCTATTTTTTTAATACAGTACTTCAACTGAAACAGTTTGATTTTAAAATGCTGTTCCATACTTCAGACTTTTCTTTTTTTTACATTCTAACTAAAAGAAAAAAAGCACGAAACAATGCAAGAGCTTCACGTTGCCTTCCTTCTCTTGTATGTTTGTTCAAGAATTGTTGAGGCACATCACTGCAAAGCTTATAGAATTCAGTGCTGATGTGTCTCACTCCATATAAAATTAAATTCTTGGTATTTTTAACGATTTGTGTCTACTCTTTGCATTTATAAATACAGTACTTCATGAAATAAATTTACCAGCATAGGTGAAGAAATTATGGTCAGAGGACAGTTTGTAGTAAAGTCCTATTTTCTTCTATGAAGAATATATTTGAGGTTTGTATAGTAAATCTAGCATACCATTTACAGGGGCTGTACTTTAGAAACTGCAATCTGGAAGTATTAATTTATTAACCTTTGTTCTAGTGCATCCATTGCTGGCAATGGAGCTCACGCCAGGGGAAAAACAGACTTTTCAGCGCAAAAACGACTGAAACTGAAAGCTTGATATTTATTGAATGTTCTTTAAAAAAAAACAAAAAAAAAAAAAACCACAATAAAAATATTGTTGATATATAAATTAGCGTGCTTCTTGGTATTAACTTGTTGACATGCTGGAAGTAAAAGTTTCCATTCAAGTTAAAATGTTAAAGTAAGAGAGATTGGGCAAACTTAACATCCAAATCATTTACTCGCACCATCTATATTATCCAAAAGCTAAAAACAACCAAAATTAGGGCAGCCATTCATCTTAGAATTACTTCTCTTCACACACAAGTGTGTAGATAAGGTTTTCATTATCACTTAATATTGTACTTTAAAGCATTTATTGTGTGTTATTGAAGAATGCCTTGTTCATTTAAACATTACACCCAGAAATGTTCTGCTTTATTTTATATTAAACTCCAGTATTCTTTGAAGTTAGCTTTAACATAAGTCTTAAGATCTATATTGGCAATCACAGTGTCTTATTCACTAAGCAGCAGCAAAGTCCATTAGGACTTTATACTGACAAACCAACAAGTTAGATCTGAAGCTCCAGAGGTTAACTTTTCTGAATGCAGCTCTTCCCCACCCCCATTTAAGAAAAGGTATCTATGAAGCTATCATTACCAGGAATGAGATTCATCACATGCCTGGAGGAGGGACTTTCACACTAGGGAAATTCAGTGAAATAATTCAGAGAAACTGGATTTTTTTTTTTTTTAAACACACCAAAAGAGAGATATGGATCTTTTATGAAGATCTCAAATAAGAGGAAGTCTTCCTCCTCATGGAATGCATATGAATATTACATTATTTTAAGCTCTTACAGCACAAACCCCACCACCCACCAAAACAAACAAAACCCAACACCATACAACTCTTCAGGTGAACAGCTGCTAAATGCACTTGCGGTTCAGGTAGAAAGGCATGCTTTCTCAGCTGAGAAGCCTCTTAAGCATTTTAGTCAGGATCTGCTTAAAAGGTGTTTGATAGGAGGTTTCTCCATATATGGATGCAAACACTTCACAGACTTTGCATTATACTAGAAGCCTTAACTTTCTCTCTTGGATTACCTTTCCAAGTGTTAGCATTACCTCAGATTAAAGTACCAGCCATAAGAAAGCTTGCCCACCACCAATAAGTTATAGATAATTGTCCCACGTAATTGCCGTTAACATGGGTATCAAAAATCCTGGGAAAAGGATTTGAGTAACTGTACTCTTGCCAAGTAATACAGAGTGAGAGGAGTGCAGAATGAAAATAGTTGTGTGGAACATTAAATGTCTTTTTTATTGCACAACCTGGTTCTTGAATACAGACAGCCAGTAAATACACTATTTTTACTACTTCTGCTTGGAAAAAGTTGGTGTTACCTAAACTTAAATTCAGTTTAAAAGATCAAAAACTGAAGTGTAGATATCTAACATAACAAAAGCTTGACAAATTCCATGGTCTTCTGTTACAGAGTTATCCATCATACAACCTGTAGGGAGAAAAAAAGTTTTAATAATTCATGTAGCTTTGTCATATTTGTTCAGGGGATGTATCAACTCCCTTAAATATTTTTTAAACGACATTATTAAACTACAAGCTAGCATAACAAGTTCCCAATCACTTCTTACCAGAGGCACAGAACTCCCATTAAACTGACTATGGGGCTCGGCAACCTAAAGTCTGAGTCGGATCCAGCCCAGGAAGGTCTGACTTGGCCCTGGGCAGCATACAGCTCTGCAGCACTTTCCTGTCCATTTGTTCTTACTGCAAAGAGGCCAGGTAAGCACAGGCAGCTTGAGGTCTTTGTGGACAAAGATTTTCAACCCCTGGGGTAAGAGACTCTTACCATTGCTAGATGGGAGCTTTGGCTAGAAAGACTATTCTGTAATTCTGAATGTAACACTTGATCACTTGTGTATGGAAAGCCATCAGGGTATGCAAACTGTATGTGCAAATGCAGTATTGTTTCCCCTCAAATCAGGAGAGAGAACATGGGCTGATTTGCACCATTTTAATCTTGGAGGCCATAACCAGTAAGAACCAGTACGAAATAACTGTCTTACCTTCTCAATCCTCCTCAATTTATTATCTTAATCTGAGGTGGAGTGGGCACAATGTGAGGTGACACCATTTTTTTCCAAGCAATCAGAAGTAAAAATAGTATACTAAATACTGACCGCCAGCAAATTCACAGTATAACTTTAACTTGAATATGCTGGACCCTAACAATAGGTTAAAAAGAGTATAATGTTTTGGAACAGTGTTAGAGTTTAGCTACAAAAGTTGCAAAGTATCAAATTCAGCAAGTCCTTTTTTCCAAATCCTACTAAAATAATATGGATAGTTATCAGATTAAGAAAAACTGGAAGAACAGAAGCAATTAACAGCATGTTTATCACTCACCAAAGTTTGTAAGAACATCTTGTTTTGGGATGTTAATGTTAATCAAAAACCCAGAAAAGACTTATTTTTCTTTTGGCCTTTCATAGCATCTGATGAAGCAGGCTGTTGCCTATGAAAGCTCACATCTCTTTGACTCTTAATTTTTAAGGTGCCCTCCTGCCTCACCTTCTGCCAGAAGAGGTTGTGTACTACAATGTAAATGTGAAACATTAAGACGGATACCACGCTGGACACTTAAGGGATTTGTCTTCTGGCAAAAGCAAAACAATGATTGGCCTCTGCTGCCCTAACTGATTGCATCTAACAGCTTGCTTGCTGCTTGAAATTAAGACAGAAAGCACAACTGAAGGGGGAGGGGATGCATAAAGCTGAAAAACAAATCATTTTCTATTTTGTGGACACACTATTTCCTCTTCCAAACACTACAGTTGGATGAGACAGGATTATACAATTGAATTTCTATGCTGTTGCCCCCTTCGATGGTTAACATTTTGGTGGAAAAGCTACTGAGGCATTGGTTGATCAAATGAAACTGGGTTTGTCAAGTAAAATGTGCCCTAGCAAAGCAAACAGAAGACCTAAGGTACATAAACTGCTGTGCAATTATAGGCTCTGTTGCTGTGCTACCTTTACCCTCTGTCCTCTCTCTTCCATTTAATACTTGCTTCCTGTGTCTTGCTTTAAATGACATGATCTGTACTACCAAGCAAGGCCCCACATCACATGCTGGTACAGTACCTGGTACGATGGCATGTTGGTTTTGATAAAACCTTTCAATGCTAATAGAGGAAGAAAACAAATATTAGTACATCATTTGGGCAAGGAAGCCTCTTGTTTCCCTTCTAACACCACTAGGGGCCGTTTCTTGACTCTCTTCCTGCTTCTCAGGCACTACACACACACAAACCCCCAAAAGCAATACCTTGGTAACCAGCAGCCTGATCACCCCTGCTGTTTCAGTGAGGATGTGAGCAAAAAGGAAACAAAGGGATGTGTGTACTGGTACATACATGCGCGTTATGTATATTACGGTATGTATCATCCCTTGTTTGTGCACACGTACATACATGGTAGAATGTGCATGCATGTGTTGGTGCATATGCACATGCATAATGCATGTATATACACAGATGCATCAGTATATATGTACTGGTACATATGCACACAGTATGTATATACCGAGACATACACGTACAGATATGTGTGCGTGTGTGTGTAGACCACCCCCGCTTACAGGTTTCCTTCGCCAGTGCACACGCGGCCGCACCTCACACATGGCTGCGCGCCGCAGGGGAGAAGCCGAAGCGGCGGCGCGGGGCCGGGGA